AGAGAGAGAGAGAGAGAGAGAGAGAAACCCGTATACAATTCGTGCGCGAGAATCTGTTCAATCATTGAATTACCGTCCGGCAAACAAAGAGCGGAAAAGCAGAGAGAGAGAGAGAGAGAGAGAGAGAAACCCGTATACAATTCGTGCGCGAGAATCTGTTCAATCATTGAATTACCGTCCGGCAAACGAAGTCGAGCGAAGCGGAAAAGGATCGGGGAGAAGTCATTTTTGGAGAAATAAACTTCGCATGTGTCATACGCGAAGATAAAGTAAATTTATTTTTTGTCCTTTTTCTTGATTTTTTTTTTTCGTCTCTCTTTCGATTGGATACAGCGGATTATAATCGAGTATCCGATGGAGTCGCGCGCGCGATCGAGGAATCTGTCATAGTGTATTTTGACAAAAACGTGTTCACTCGTCTGTATAATATATAGCGCGCTGACTTCAGTTAAATATTTCTTTGTTTGTTTTTTTTTTCGTGCCGTCTATATATCGCAGACGGAGATGCGTTCTAAGAGAAAGAACACCGCGCACACCATTCTCCCGTAAGAAGACGCATCAAAAAGAATTAATAGGAATTTATTCTGCGCGAAATTGAATGAATTGAATCATAAAACGACCATCCTTTAATTGCATTCAATTCGTACCTTTTTCTTACTATAGCGCGTGAGTCAGAGTCACTTAATTCAAACTATGTCGGCACAACTTGGAGCCGGTTTCACTAACGTCGGTTAGCGCCAAGTACCGTTAACTAAATCTCTTATCTCCGTCTACGCCATAGATAGAGAATTATAATCTAGAAAAAGGAACAGAGCAAATGTGTCGCTAACCGAGTGTGTTGATTAACACAGATTGTCAACTCAGCGAAAAGAAGCCGAAGTCCTATCACATCGCTATACGTGACAGGACGTATCGCCGGAAAAATTTCATTCTATTCAGTATATGTCAAATTCGAATCGATGGCAGACTCCGAGGAAAGCACATCCGCATAGTCGAGATCCAAGATCCACGTCGTTTAAACGTTCGCTTAAATTTCGATATCGTGTCCCGACTATTCTCTCCTCTTGCGAAGACAAAATTTTATGTTCTACGATTGCGACTAAGCAAAGAAGCAATGTCCTCGATACAATGTCGTTTATATTCGAAACGCGTATAAGCAACCGCAATACTGGTTAGGATCTGCTTTCCCGCGTTGTCTGCGATTTTTCAATGAGAAAGAAATGTGTTTCGATATCGTATTCTCGTACGAATTCTCCGCATCACATGCATGTCGAAGCACGATATGGGAAAAATGTATCCCGACAAAGAGTGCGATACTATATAAAATTTAACAGTAATGCGCACGTAAAATCTTCAAAGGTGGAGGAAGACGACAAACGTTAAGATTTAGCGAAATAGAATTCGGGAAAACACACGATCTATACTCCTCTTGCAACGAGAGATAGAGAAAATTGTAATGCAACGTAAAAATTATAAAGGTGCTATTCGATGAACAATTCTCTCTCTCGTTCCGAGATTTAAACGGAAGATTTATTATTAATAAGTTCCTTATTAATCTGAGAGATCGATGCGCGAAATTTTTAACGGAAGACACAGGTCGGTTTCCTCACACGCATGTCCTCCTCCTCCCTTTAATCTTTCAGATAGATTTCGATATCATTAATTGTCACAGTCCATTGCGTTTTCTCCCGTTATGGGAAAGCGTTATCAACGACGTAAGCTCTGCTTTAATTTACATTACGCGTTTGTGATATACAATTTTAGTCTCTGGCTCGCTTCGCTTATTATATGTTCACGTTCCGCGTATTTAAGCACGCATTCTCCCTTCACATCCCCTTCCTCATTATCCTTCCTTCCTTCTCTCTTTCACTCGCAATCGAATTCCTTTCACGCTTTTGAATTCGGCACTTGTCTACGGTCGCGTAAGTCGCCACATTGTGAATTATGTATAAATAAATAAATAACAAATCGGGGTGTCATGGGAATAAAGATGGGATTAAAAAACTCAAACGCTCTAATTACAACTCGATTTCGAAGGTTCGTTCTTAGGCCTTGTGCGCAAGAAGGAAGGTGCATACGACAAGAGCTCTCGAGACAAAAATTTTCCAACACGTACGATTAAATGCACAAAGTAACATATAAAAACTTATAAATATTATTAGATAAGAAAAAATAATTACTAAATGTTTACAAGAGTGGTAATATATGAATTGTTTCATATATTATGTCTCTTGGTATAATACCAAATATTATAAGAAAATATATATATATATATATTTGAAAAAAATATATATATCATAATTTTTTAGAATTGTGGACCATGCAATGTTAAAGTATTATGTACATATCATAGGACATACATAGGACAAAATATGGATATGTTACTTTATGAATATCTGCCCAAGATTTCAGTTCAGAGGTTTCAGATTTCAGAAATGTATGTGTCATAGCACAACTTATTTAATTAAATGTATTTTCAATAAAATATATTGCACTTTAACTTGATAAGAGAGCATTCATGGTAATGCATTTTCCTTCCACGCATGTAAGTATACTATTCATGACGCACGTTTAATCGTGATAAAGATTTAAAGTGACACACGATATTATAAAATTGAAATTCTGCAAGGCTAACTAAAAATTACATTGTATCTTGGATTGATTCGAAGTGAAATTCGCGCTACTTCCTGCATCACGATAGCCTTGGAAGATTGTATATTCGTAGGAAAAAGCACGTATATTCTAAGATACTATTTAATGTCAACTAAACGTAAATCGTAATATGAAAGCCCATGCAATTGTATATTCGATTGTACAATATATCAATTATAAGATTGCCACTCTCTTTCTCTCGTTGTTGTATTCGAATAATTAACTGTAAAACTTAAATTTACTGGTGTGTGTGCGGAGCGCGCGAGATATTTGAGTTAGTTAGAAAGTTAAGAGAAGCGAAATCTACGGTAAAAGTTTCATAAACGAATTTTTCGAAGCGCATACGATTAATCGCCTTCTCGTTAAATTTTAATACATGTATCCTATTACGCTTGTGTTACCAGCATCGATTATATATCTATCTCTTAGGCCACGATATATCATCTCCGTACCAATATGCGGAAATATTTTACAGAAGAGGATGTTGACCGAAAAACTAGTTGTTGTACTAGCATTTTCAGCTCAACTATACTCTGCTTGGACAATAGATATGTACTATAACATCTTACGAAATAAAAGAACAAGTAGGTCAAAAATCTCTCGAAAAATTTTTTCCCCTCCCATTCATATATTTTGAGGCTTATAATGTTTATAATGCGTTTGCTTTTTATTAAATAGCAGGATTATTTAACTTTATATTTCTTTTCGGTTAACTACAAATTAGATTTTCTGAAATATGTTTGCCAAACATGTCTTTTTCTTGTTAAATTCGAAGAAACAAATATATCAGATAACTGAATTACAAGCGAATAAGTAAATTCTTTTAACATATAAAAAATAGATTTTTCATGTTTTTTTATGAAAACAATGCAAGGAATATACACACATAAAATTACTATTCTCTATCTGTGTGCATATTTTTAATATTACTTAAAACGTTTAATCGTAAGATGAACAATTAAGAGTATCCTCTCAGAAACGATTCGTCAAATAAGATATAAACATTTTAGTGTTGAAGAACTTCTGTCCATTTTAAATCAACATCTCTAATTTAGCAGGTTTATTTAAAGTAGTTTCATTAATGAGTATATGTGTGTGTATGTATGCATGTGTTACTTTTATAAATATAATTTTTTTCTTAAATGGAAATCTATACGTTGTTATAATATATTTATATATACAAAGCAACCTGCACCGATGTCGATATATGTATAATAATCATGAATGACTATGTGTGAAATGTGTTTGTGTATGTGAGCATACTCGAGACAAAATCAAGGAAGTAGTACAAAATCACTTCGGCCTTTGGAAAACTATCTCACAGATAAGCGACGGCCCGCACGACTTAACTGCCGTTTTACTCTTATGACTTAATTTAGTTTTACATCCTTCATAAGGATCGCACAAAATCAACAGATCGCTACATTGACGTGCATGCACGTATAATATATATATATATTTATGTATATATGTACACTGCTGTATATGTGTATACGAGTATGTATTTATAATACATGAATGATCGTACCTAATGAAATGAAAATTTATTTCTGTAAACGGTAAATGTCTAAAGATAAAAGCTACACATGCGTTCTCTTTCTTTCTTCCCTTCTTATATATATGTATATATGTATATGTATATATATATATATATAAAGCCTATTTTTCTTGACCTTTGTCTTATACCAAAAAGAATGTTATCACATTCCACATCGAGCAAACATTTGCAATACGTGTAGGAATATATTGTTACTCTTCAAGTCTCGATGAATGATATTCTTTGCGTGCAAATAGTCCATGCCTTGCGCAGTTTGTCTTCCAATCTCTATCAATGTCAGCAATTCAAACTTGGACTCAAATACGTGCAAGTGTTTATACAGAGACGAGCCTTCGCACCATTGTGTCACAATCGCAAGCTGTGGTTTGCTGACACAACCCATAAACAGCAAAATATTCACGTGTCGAGTTTTACGTAAAACGGCCACTTCATTTTTGAATGCTTGTAACTGTGCAGATGTGGGAATTTTAACATTGAGTGTTTTCACTGCAACAGGTCCGTGCCAATGAGCCTTGTATACAGTTCCAAATGATCCTGATCCGATACGTGGCCCTACTAGAATCTCATCCGCTGGAATTTCCCAATCCTCAATAGACTCCCTTGGCGCTAAGAGATTCTTTGAAGATTCGTCGGCTGATTTTGCTCTTGGTCGTTTCGGCCTTAAAGTATTTGTCGGACTAGCCTGTGTGGACTGACTATGCTTCGTTGGACTACTGCCAGGTGACACAGGACTTTGAATAGTACTGACAGGTCTACCTAAACTCTGGGATCTACTATACTCATCTAGGTTGATAGGTTCACCACCTGGCTTAACCATATTAAAGCAGACATTAGGTGCTGAGCTAGATCGATCTTGCTGGCCCAAGGAACGTGGATGCCTCTGATTTCTCGATGGAGCCAGAGAGGGAGACATACTACTACCCAATCCGTAACCAGAGGGAAGTTGCAAGATTCCAGCGGTAGTCTCTGGATTATGCGCGAGTAATGCTTGATAGTAAGCATCCTGCATGCGTACCTGATGACATAGAGCAGGCACACCACCCGCGCATCTCTGATGAAATCTGTAATTACATGTTCTGCAATAAAATCCTTGAAAGAGCAGCTTTCTGCAGCATTCGCAAAAGGCTAGCGAGAAAAATGTCTTACGCACAAAATTGTGCGAAATGGAAGTGGTTATAGGAAACTTATCCAAAATCTCCACCAGTATTTCGTCACATTCCAACGATGAAATGTCCACGTCCCAACGTATCAAGTACTTGGAGCTATCCATCCCCATAACGTAGACTGCGCACATCTCAGTAGTGAGATTTCGAAGCTTCATCGCTTTGGCCAGTGCATCTCTCAAGGAGAGTCCCTCTCTCACTTGCACGCTGGTACGTTGCTGATTAGGTAGATACGCCCTCAGTGTATTAAAGGACTTTACCGGTGTTCTAGGGCCTCTAGCTGTACTGTTGTCACTTTCCGATATGGAGACACTACTAGAAATTCTCCTGGCATTCAACAGCTCGTTAAGCTTCTGCTCCTCGGATTCGAGCTTGTGCAACTTACTCGTTAGTTCCTGATACTCATTCAGATAAATCGAAGGCGGATGTTTCAAGCCGGCGAAGCGATTGTTCAGAGTGTCGATATTCTGCCGCGTGACATTAATGATGCTCTTTATGTTGCGCAGCTCGTACCAGAGCGGATCCGTGTCCAGGTAATCGTCGTCGGGATCGCTAAACTCGCCGGATTCCAGGCCGCTTCCGCGCGAGGACGTCATCGTAAATTGCGGCGGCGGCGAGTGACCCGCTATACCTTTTTTCCTATGCCGTCGACGGCGCGCCAACGCCGAGGACGACGACGACGACGAGGACGACGAGGACGAGGGTGACGGTAACGGCGACGTTACCGCTGTCTCGGCCTGACCCTCGGACCTATGACACGATAACAACTCCGTGTACGGGTTCGCACGGACCGCCGCGTGATACCTGCATTCGCCGATCACGGCCATCTTCTTGCTACGTCGGGCAGCATCCTGGGCCGCCGCTGCCGCGCTTCGAAACACCGCGGTAGCTCGTATCGACGCGCTACCCGTAACTGAGAAGCGGAGAGCGGTGCGCTCGCACGCGAGAGAGAGAGAGAGAAAGAGCGCGCTACGACGATCTCTCGCCGCCAACGCCACTCGATCGCCCTCTCTTTCTTTCTCTCACTCTCTCTCTTTCTCTCTCGCACCTGCTCTTTGTCTCGCTTCTCACCACGCCGCCTTTGTCTCGCCGCGCGACCAAGCACGCAGCGTCCTCCTCGTCCTCGTCGTCGTCGTCGTCGTCGTCGTCGTTCTCGTTGTTGTCGTCGTCGCACGTCGCCACTCTCCTCTGCCGCGTTTCTTAACGTTGCTCGCGCCTATCGAATCAAATCGCCGCGATGACGCGCCGCGAGTACACGGCATGCCGCGACGTCCCCGTTCCTGGCCCGCGCGCACTTGTCACCGACGTGTCACAACCTCTTCTCCGCGATCCTCCCCTTTTCTCTCGCCACGACGGGCTTGATCACCCCGTCCCTGACGTCGCGCACCCGATCCAACTTTACGAACCGTCGTATACCACACGGCCTCGAGCCGTCTCGACGCAAAACTGGCACGAGCGAGAAGTGCGAGGAGGCGCGGGGCTATGCTATGAGCAGCCGCGGACCGCGGCGCGCTGCCGGTGCTGCCAGCGTCGTCTACGGATACGACGCCACCCCCTCGCCTCCCTGATCATGTCGCGCGCGTGCCGGTCGCTTCTCCTCCTCCTCCTCCTCTTCCGCCACAGTCGTTCGAAACTGTTCGAATCGAGATAGCGCGAGATAATCGTCCCCGGAGTCAATTTTGCGTCGCACGTTCCGCGAATGTCAACCGGCGATCGCGATCGGCCGATATTAAGCTCCGTTTTCATGTAGTACGCCTCCCTATATATAAGACACTTTTGATAGAATCCTACCGAAGCGCGTTAAAGATGCATAGCTTCCGCAAGCGACGATCAATTTTCGACGCGAGATTTACGCGTCAAGTGTTTTTCCGCGAAGGAAACTCATCATCGGTGCGAATTTTAATTGCGAACCGGCTCGAACGGTGCGTTTAAATTCAACTCCCGCCCTTTTCGACCCCTCGAGTGTGCCGGCCGGGCACTTGATTTACGAGACGCGACGTCCATTGTCATCGTCCAGGTCGACCCGTATCCAACGACCCGTACATGGCCATCGTATCGCGAACGCCGATAATTCAAGTTCAATTTTTCCATAAACACGACCACTTACGTTGCGCGCTCACTGACGTCACTGCGGGTACGCTTTGACGTCAGCGGCATGTGGCATCGTCGTCAGGGCAACGGGAAGTCGATTCCCATTGGCCGGGCGCGCTTACGTTATTCGCGCTACGGGATCGGTGACTGGGATATATTCGAGTCATCGAGAAAGCGTATTTCCGAACCATCAGAAATTCTTCCAGCTTCGTTTCCCTTCCCACATTATGATCGAGCGCTTATCGCTCGATCGATTCAGCAGTGTCAAAGGCGCGTTGATGAGGCGAGTTGTGTTCCAATCATTTAAACCGTATTTTTTTTCGAAAAAATGTCGAGGCTCGTAGCTGGAAAACTGGCACTTGTTACCGGTTTGTGGAAATCTTTCTTTTTTATTTAAACGATCTAATCGATTGCATTAATTCTGGAGAAATAAGTAGCAAAAATTTGTCTCGAGTGATTATTACTCAGCAAAAATGCGTTAGATTAGAATATATATATAAATAGCGCGAAATCTTATCTGCTTTTTCTCGATCATGTCATGTCAGGTGCTGGAAGTGGCATCGGAAGGGAGGTATGTCGAGTATTGGCTCGCGAAGGCGCAAGTATTGTGGCGGCCGATCAGAATATCAAAACTGCTCAAGAAACTGTTGCCACTTTGGAAGGTTTATATATATATATATCTTTATTAATATACTTATATCAGAGAGAGAGAGAAAATTTTTGAAACTGATACAGTTTATTTTCATGTTTTTACAGCATTGAAATTTTATAGTTTATTGAAATTATGTTTATTTCTCTAGTCTCTTAATCTCCAATAATTTATTTTATTTTATGATTATTATGACTATTTGTTTTGCTACACAGTTTTCAATTGCAGGTACTGAACATATTGCATTAAATGTTCGTGTCAATGACCGAAACAGTGTTGAAACAGCGTTTAAAGATGTTATAAAACAATTTTCAAAGCCACCCACCATCATTGTTAATTCAGCAGGCATCGCACGAGATAACTTTTTGGTGAAACTCAGCGACAATGATTTTGATGATGTCATTGATGTCAATTTAAAGGGTACTTTTCTAATTATGCAAACTGCTGTCAAAGCGATGATAGAGGGAAATACAACCAAAGATTCTTCAATTATCAATGTAAGTTCGATTATTGCTACACGTGGGAATATTGGACAATGTAGCTATAGTGCATCAAAAGCTGGAGTAATAGCTATGACAAAGAGTGCTTCGATGGAGTTTGGACAGTATGTATCAGATATACATTTTGATTAATTTATTTAGTTTGCTAACATGAAAATTAACTGTATTATGTATATTTTATAGATTTGGGATCCGGGTAAATGCAATACTTCCTGGTTTTATAGACACTCCTATGATTGCAATTGTACCTGACAAAATTAAGGAAAGATTTGTAAAAAGAATATCATTGCAAAGATTGGGGAAGCCAGAAGAAGTAGCAGAAGTTATCTTATTTTTAGCTTCTGATAAGAGTTCTTACATAAATGGAGCTTCTATTGAAGTTACTGGAGGACTGAGTTAAGTTTTATACAATTCATATATACACATAAGATGCCATATAGATAGGCTATTGATCAAGTACTATACCTTTTATATATATATATATATGTAAAGCTGGCTTTTTATAATAATCTATTCGATTCGCGATAAGATTCAAGACAGAATTTTATTTATAATTTCATATTCCGCATATTTTAATATGTGTCTCGACATATATTTTATATATATCCATATTTTATTTCATTAAATGTTTTCTATATTATAGATGAAATTACCACAATATCACAACATATATAAATAAAATTCTATTTCGAATTTTGTCGTGAATTCAAAAAGATTGTCTACAGTAGTCTTTAAACATAGGTATTCATATTAATATATATTTTTTTAAGAAATGTACAATTGGTATATATATATGTATATATCTTTGCTGCTATATTTTTGCAATATTAAAGATGTAAATTACAAATTTTGTAAATACCTTTACAAAAATTTTTTACCTTTCTTAAGCGTGTAAAATATCCTATATAAATGCGATAAATTACTTCCTTTTTCCTTTGAGCCTTCTCGCGTGTTTATGTGCTTTATAGTGCGTCTTTTTCTTCTCTTCAATGATCTCTTTATATTTCCGCTTATTGTATTTTGTGAATTCTGCATCTGCCATAAGCTCGTCAACGATCGTTTTCTTACGTTCCTTCTTTGTAAGACGTGAGGAATAGAAGTCCATTGGAGAATCGACAACCTTGCCAACGTGGAAATGTTTTGGCAATACTTTCATGTCGTTTTTCTTGTAAAAGTGTTTGGGATCCAACGCAGATCTCATTCGTAATATTTCAAGATCATGTCTAATCTCAGGCGTTATTTTAGGTGCTCGCATGTTAAACCATCCTGAACCTGTACCCATCTTTCGTTTTTCACGTCGTTTGCGCACTTCCAATTGATGTTTACTCAACTCATATGGCGGTACAACATGCAATTTCTCGAAATCGGGGGTTATAACGCTCTTTTTCAAAATTTTGTCCAATGGATTTACCTCTTTTCTTATTTGCATTAGTTCTTCCGTTGGTTCAAACATTTTTTTTGAAGACTTCCAACCCATGTCAATTTCAAATTTCTCAAGATCAAAGTCTTTACTCGAGGAAGAAAAATTCTTTTTTTTTGGCTTGGCCTCGATGCCGAGGTAATCTGCATCATATATCCTTGTTGGATCAATATCTAATAGAAGAAAATATGAATATTTATAAGCATTAAATTTATTAGGCAAATAATTGCTAAACGAGTGACATTAATTGCTAAATGTTTTTTCTTCTAGCTAAAGTTTTCATGTTTTTTTTTTACTCTTTCTCTAAATGTGGTCCTGTATTTGTTTGATTACAAGTACAAAAAGCATAAAAAACAATTACATATATATACAAAAAGGCTGATGTTAAGATTGGTTGAGATTGTTTCATAATCTAATCTCTATGATTTAGATTCCTCGTTTGTATTACAGATAATCTGAAAATGCTCAGCGAGCTGCCACTTCAAATTTTTAATTAATCTTGACAATCAATGGTAGAGATTTAATTAATCGACATGTTCCATATCGAATCCTAACCTAAATATATCTCGTGGAGATAAACAAAAAGAGAGCAAAGGTAATTACCATTAGTATTAATTTCCTCAGCTTTGTCAAAATACATTAATTCCATGGTGTAAGTAACAAGGTGTGCTATCTTCTCGGACGAATTTTCGTCACATTCAGCACCAAGTTTCTGTTAATGAGTAAAAAATCACAGGAGAGAGTATATCGGTGGTGGGGGTAGATTTATCGCGAACGGTAGTACGTCATCGCAGCCATCTTGTCACGCATCATACGAAGCAAACAAAATTATACAAGATGGCGGAATCTTGTCACGCTCTCTTATTGGTCAGTAAAAATGCCTGCGCAGTAACACACCTTGTTACTTACACTATGACTAATTCCATGTTGGAAAAAACAAGGGAAAAGGGTTACACCTAATGAATATACAATTGAATCCACGCCGCCGTTTTTCGTGAGACCGTTTTCCTAGCTGATACAGTGGCGCTAACTGGAACCATTTTAGAGCTGACGGAACTACCTGGCAGATTCACTTTTTGATGCCATGGTAAAACGATCATTTGGTGCATGTCCGTGCTAAACACATTGTGAATCAGAAATGCGGAGAAATATTATGGATTTATTAATGTTTTATTAGCTGCGCGTGATGTTTTGTCATTCTAATATATATTACAGCAATAATAAATTATAATTGAAGTATTTTTATGTATATGCGCATGTAAAATAAAATAAATTTTCTTAAATAAATTTTCTTAATAATTTTTTTCCTAATTTTTAAATATAACATATAGAAGATATTTACAATAAATCGTTTTTACTTTTTCTTATTCTTGAAAAGTATTAAGCATTTTAAACATTATCAAATCATGCTTTCAATTTATATAACTTTTTAACTATGACTAATTCCATGTTGGAAAAAACAAGGGAAAAGGGTTACACCTAATGAATATACAATTGAATCCACGCCGCCGTTTTTCGTGAGACCGTTTTCCTAGCTGATACAGTGGCGCTAACTGGAACCATTTTAGAGCTGACGGAACTACCTGGCAGATTCACTTTTTGATGCCATGGTAAAACGATCATTTGGTGCATGTCCGTGCTAAACACATTGTGAATCAGAAATGCGGAGAAATATTATGGATTTATTAATGTTTTATTAGCTGCGCGTGATGTTTTGTCATTCTAATATATATTACAACTTTTTATATTATTAATTTCTTTTTATAATTATATTATTCAATTAATTTTTAATTTATGAATTCAGTTGGATGCACTAGTGCGCATCAATGCACATTAAAAGTTATTATAAACAAATTTATATAAGCATAATTAATTATATTTTCCTATAGTTTTAACCGTGTTCTATTGTTTTTTAAGTAGTTTTAATTGTTGACAGCGTTAATTATTTTTTTTTTTTGCGTTTATATGATCGCCGGTGATACTATCAGCTATCAGATTTTCGCAAAATGTCATAAAATGTCAAAAAATCGCGAG